TTTTTCATAGAAAATATGGCAATGTTTTTCTCTTTCATTCAACCATCCAACGATTGAAGATCAAATCATCTATCCTTAAATAGTAGTAGATATTTTATTTTTCAAGTTGTATTCAAATTGATAAATGTGATTGATGATAACAATAAATATATCTATAATAATAATTAATCAATCACTAATAAATGATTAGTTAAATTTGACAAAGATATTTAATAATTTTTCGATTGCAAGCCATCTATTCAATTGGTATATATCATCAACTTTTTTTTTGAATTTTTTTTTTCCATTTCTATAACAATATCTTATTTTGTTTTTTAAAAGATGTTATACCGTCGTATAGAAATTTTGAATTACGTCAAATATCATATATAAAATTTAAGGTAAAATATAATTTTGATTTTTAAGGTGTGAGGTTAGGATCTATTTAATCTTTTAGAGTTTAAAAGGGACACTTTTAGTTGATGGAGTTTGTAAAATGGTTTTAAATGATCCATTCGTTTACTAACAATAAGATAATGCAGTAGTTAAAATTTTTAATGTATTTTACTGATTTGTCAAGTTATGTTAATTTAATTTTTCTTTTTGTTATTATTGAACTTCTCTCGTTTTTCTTTTTTCAAATGATCTTTTTCCTTTCTCCTTTTCTCTTTGCTCTTTTCCTCCCTGACAAGTCACTCGTCGTCATTTGAGATGATGGACAATTTAGAATAATTTTCAAACCTTAAAGATCAAAGTATCTCTTCTGAAACCTCATAGATCAAATAGACATCAACCTCAAAATTGAGGATCAAAAGTGTCCGTTGATCCTAAAATTTAATCGATTATGAATTAGGCGGCCTAAAAAACCTTTTTAGGAATTATTTTCACTAAGTAGGATAACAAAATGCAAATGATTTTATATTAATATATAGTAAAATTCGTCATTTTTGCTCACAAAGTTGAAACTTCCTTTGAAAGGTTGCCATGATTATTTCTATATATAGAATGAGACATGTCGATACTCAATAAATTGTATTAGTCCAAGCTCCAATCATTTTCAATAAAATTGAATGGTTTTCCCTAACAAAAATATATATATATATATATATATATATATTAAACCCTAAACTTGAGCACCAAATCATAGAAACTTCAAACAAGCAAAAATAAAATAACAACAACGAGTTTTGACGAAATACTTTGAATATCAAAAAATATAATATAAAACATCAAAACTTTTTAAATTAGGATGTCACCATTAAGATGTATAATCAATACGTTAAATTTTGTACTTACATGATAAGAGTTACACTTGTAAACAAACAAATAATCTTCCGACTATTATATTGGAACCATTCTTTAAATTTAAAATAATTCATTGAAACAAAGACCAAGATATTATACAATAATTGTTATTTGACTATACAAAAAGACTTGCAAATGTGTCGACTTGTTTATTTAAATACAAATTTCAAACCTACTAATTTTTTTTTAAGGAAAATACTTTTCAATAATTGTCTTTTATAAAGTGTTAATCAAAACTGATGATCTTGATTTGAAAGCTAGTTGAGATTTGTAATGTAAATGGAGGAGCCTAAAATCTAGAAAAAAAAAAAAAAAAGGAAATCTATGGGTATAAAGGTAAGTTGACATGTGAGTTTTGTTTTAAAGAAAAAAAGAAATAGGGGGTGGTGGTGACTGGTGAGGCATTAAATAAAAAACAGCGTTACGGTCAAGAAAGGGAGCTCTGATTCACAAATCAACACTGCCAGCCGAAATCCTTTAACAACGCAGCCCAGTTTTCGGTTGAAACTTTATAATTTATCATCCTTTGAGTGAGCTTTTAAATACAATTTTTCTTTTTTTCTTTTTGTAATGTATAAATAAATATATAATGTCACAATAATGTGAACATTTAAAAAAATTAAAAAAAAAAATTGTATATGGAAGGTGTGGGTTTAAAATGAGACGTGCAGGTTTGACTTATTCACCCCAGATTAATGCATGAAAACTGGGTTTTGACTCGCATCATTATGAGAACGTTAATTGAATTTATTGCTTTAATGATCAAAACGAAACCCCTATTATATAGATAGCATTAGAGATAAATTATAGGCAAAGTCGCCACTTTTCTCTAATTCATTCTATAATTCGTTTTCGAATTTCAAATTACGACTCATTTATGTTGTAAAAATAAATTTCATATTAAAATTTTAGGGGTGGGAATTGAAATATTTGAGATGGTAATATGCAAATTCAACCATATCATGACTAAGAGATCAACTGGATCGTATTAAGTATTAAATGGATCGGGCGTGGAGGAGGGTTTTATTATTGTTATTATTATCATCATACCAATAAATGAGGGGGAGAAAACTGATTATGTATGAGCTGTGTTGGAGAGAAACGCGTTGTATTTAAGAATTCAATTAAACAGCACTGTGCTGTGTGCGCTGTGGTTTAATATTTCCAACTGCGACCTCAAAAATGAATTCACCACCCAAAAAAAAAAAAAAAAATACCTAATTCTCTCATCTATTCAACAACCCACTTTCACTTTCTAATAATATCACCATGTTCATATTTCCATATATTTATATATTCTTCCCTTTCTGCCCCCCACCCACTTGGCGTTGGCCCTCCTATTTTAATGACATCACATACCTCTATCTTTTATACCCCCAACAAAAAGTATGCCCTCTCTACACCCTTGATTATAATTATTATTCCTTCCGGAGGGAGAGACAATTTAATACAGCATACAGAGTCACGTACTATCTATCAACATCAACATAGTTCATAGTTCAGTGATAATTGGTACCTATGAATCATTCCGACGAAAGGGAAAATTCTAAAGGGAGGATGGGAAGGCATGAAGTGAGTGGGATCATTGGAGAAAGGGCACTAACGCCAGCACACCAACTATTGTCCACTTCATCGTGAAAATATTAACGTCGTCATTATAGTTTCAGTCAAAAAAAAAAAAAAAAATCAAATTGCATCCGTCACTTGACGAAATTGATTGCCAACAAAATTCCATGCATATCTAACGCTCTCTCACCAACTGTACGCCTCAAAGATGCCAAATTAATCTCAAACTTTCCTTTGGTCAATCTTTATTTATTTATTCTTTTATTTTTGAGATATAGGAATCCAAATATTTAATGATTTTTTTTTTACTTCAACAAGTAGGAGGATACAGAGGGAGCTCTTTGATATGATTATTTGGCAACTTTGAGGCAATAAAAATGTGATTATTGCATAATAATGTTTTCATTTCAAATGGGTGTGAAAAGTTATAAATAAACTAACACCTTAAAAAAAACTTGTTCCAGTGCATGAATCGACCAAAAGAGTCAAAACTCAGTCGGCAGGTTCATTATTATTATTATTACTATTACCCTTAATTTTTCAACAATTTTCTCATTACTAATAGGCTGTTATATTTCAAAGGATGCAAGTTGATCCAACAGCGCACTCCATGGCTTAAATTTAGTCCTAACAAAATATTGAAAAAACAATCAATAGAGATTTAAGAGTAAAGTTTTAAAAGATAAATCGAAATATCAACTTAAACATAATTTTAAGTAATCATATATTATAATTTTGTTTATAAGTTGGATAAAAACTCTCAAAACAAAGAGAATTTTTTGGGGTAGGTGGTAGTTTGATGAGAAATGA